CTCTTGACGTGGAGTAGTTGACCTCGGCGCGTGAAAGAGTGCGGCTAGCGTATGCTATCACTCGCTCTGTGCCCTCTTGTTGTTGTGCGAGGACAGCACCAAGACCCACGTTGCTGGCGTCAGTATGAATTTCAGTATCAGCGTCTTGGTCAAAGTGAGCGAGGACGGGTGGTGTCTGCAAACGCTCCCGTAGTTCAGAAAAAGCTGCGTCCTGTTCTTCCTCCCAGACGAATGGAACATCTTCACGAGTGAGTCGAGTGAGCGGTTCAGCAACCTAGAGAAATTGGCTATAAAGCGGTGATAGTACGCACAGAGCCCTAGTAAGCGACGCACTGCCTTCTTATCACGTGGAACAGGAAATGAGGCCACGGCAGTACTTTTGTCAGGGTCTGGTCGAATACCATCCACACTGATAACATGGCCGAGAAACTTAAGTTCCTTGTAACCGAAGTGGCATTTTTCTGGCTTCAGTGTCAGGTTAGCAGAGCGGAGCGCTTCCAGCACATTCTGCAGACGCTTCAGGTGCTCCTCAAAGGTTGCAGAAAACACCGACAACATCATCGAGGTAAACTAAGCACGTGTGCCACTTTAGACCGGTAAGAACAGTGTCCATCATTCTCTGGAATGTCGCAGGTGCAGAACAGAGGCTGAAGGGAAGCATTTTGAATTCATATAGGCCACCCGGTGTAACGAAGGCGGTTTTTTCACGATCTCGTTCATCAACTTCGATCTACCAGCAGCCACTTATCAAGTCTATCGATGAAAAATACTTGGCCCGCCGCAGTCCTGTCGAGGGAATCGTCGATACGAAGCAGCGCATAGACGTCTTTTTTAGTCACGCTGTTAAGTTTCCTGTAGTCCACGCATAAGCGCAGTGATCCATCTTTTTTCTTCACGAGCACGACCGAGATTACCAGGCACTCTTCGAAAATTGGATAATGTCATCTTGCAACATCTCTTTGACTTGAGCATTTATAACGTCACGTTTCTTTGCCGAAACGCGGTAAGGGTGTTGTTTTATGGGCGAGGCGTCGTTATACGTAATTATTCGGTGTTTGGTAATCGGTGTTTGACGAACCTTCGAGGTGGACGCGAAGCACTCTTTAAATTGATATAGCAGTTCACGTAGCTCGGTCTGTTGTTGTTGCGAGAGGGTCGAGTTGACATCAACTTTTCCAAGTAGTGAAGTCACGTCGCTTGGTGTCGGTCGAAGCCCGTCGTTGGCTGATGTAGATGCGAAGCATTCAGAAACGTCAGCGATAGGGTAGGCGAAAGCGATGGTGGTGTCACGAAACAGGTGCCGGTACTCGTTACTGAAATTAATCACAAGTAGGTCAGAGTGTCCGTCATAAGCGTGACGAGGCTTCGTGCAGCGCAGGCTGCCATGGCTGCCAGCGAGAATGGAAGACGATGTTCTGGGGCAGCGCGTGCTCTGGCTAGTTGTCGATTATTGAAGCAGCCGTCTTGCCAGTTTTCGATGCGTCTCCCCGCCGGCTCAGTTCTTCCTAGTTGAAGACCTTTTGTAGCACGTGACAATATGCTTGCTGCAGTTAACGATAGATGAAGCACGCGTCGGTTTCACTAGCAAATTTTTTGTTTCCAGTCTGTGCGACTGGCGGGTCAAATGTATTCATTTGACATCCCGTTCTCGCCACGTTTCGCTCGTGGATACGTTATCGCGCGCGCCCATGGCGTTCGTTGTAGTATACTTATCTCGACAATGAACCACTGGGTGTGGCAGCTTACGCACCTTTCGAGTTTTAATTTGTCGCTGCTGCTCAAAAGACACCACAAGTACAAAAAGCAGAGCAAATGCACGTTTTTTGCGTTTTAAATGTTACACAATAAATAAACCTGAAATGCGGTAGCGTTGTTCATGCTCTTATTCACAAATTTTCAGACGGCGTGAATTGAACTGTTCTCGCAATTTAGTGTGTGTGTGCCTTACTGTTTGGTTCACGCTGCACGGAAAGTCCCGACGAACAGGTGCGTCTGTCTCGCTCACTACAGTTATATATATATATATATATATATATATATATATATATATATATATATATATATATATATATATAGTGAGTGAGACAGACACGACACAGTGTATTGCCTTAAGAGGCAAGATCATTCACTAGGGCACTGCTGCACTTGCTGCGCTTTTCACATTGGAAAAAATACTGACCACACATTTAGAAAATATTTAGGAAAATTGCGTGACGGAAAGAGAACTGGAAACGGGAGGAACACAGCTGCTTGTGTTCTCTTACTGCATATCTTGTCCCGTCTCGGCGTTTTCTCTATAATGCACCCGCGCCAACTCGCCCACCTGTGAGTCCTGCTTACAATTTAGAGTGCGCCAGGGATTCAAATTTAAGAAGGTAATAGAGGTGTTCCATCAGCAGTTTTTCCAGCTGACAGTCGACTTACCTGAGTCACTGCCGGATGTGACAAGCAGAATGAAGCTCGGAACTGTAATTAACAAAATGATAAGAGAAAATTGAATGTATACCATATACTTACCGTATCCAGCTCTGGATATCTCGGCGAGATACGGCGGAAATAGCCGTTGCAGTAAGAAGCTAGTACGTCACATTCACCATTATGCTGCATTTATGATTGCGCACCTGAACCTTACTGCGGTACTTCAGGTGAAGTCTCGTGTGCTGCTGGCTCTTAAAGTTCATGTGAGGCTATTTTCTGAACCCATAAGGCAAATAGTGGACACATCCACGCATCCAAGTAAACCGCAAATGCTTATGGTGAGATAGATCAGGGCGTCAGTTTTAGCTTAAGCTCCATATCATGCAGATGCCATATCATCCTCATGCATGTGCTATTTTAAGAGCCAATTCCCGGACATCTAAATCACTGAAATTCAATATTGTAAGAATTTTGCACCTACACCTCCTTTGTGTCAGTTTGTGTACACTCGAGTTGGCAGACGTTTTGCTGTTCATGCAGTCTTCTGTAGGACAGCTAACCTCCCTGTCCTTCCTCATTTATTCCTCCTCCTCCTTCCTAGGACAGAATTGTCATCGCAGCTGAAGGCGACGAAAATACTACTGAATTTTTTTTTTAAGAAACCGGCTTGGACTAGTGGCTGTAACAGAAATGTCACGTATCACACAAGGATGAGAGACTGTGGATGTGGGTGCTGTATTATGCGTTGTCTGTCTCTCTTTGTTTTCTTTTTTCTCTATCTTTCAAACTGCTCCATCTATATCCCACGTGAACATTACCAAACCGGATGTTCTAAACTGGTGAGCATCCCTGTCTTTGCCTCTCTGTGACACAATCACATTTTGTTATGTGCTCAAAGTATAATTCAAAAATACTAAATTTGCACCTCATACGCGAGCATTTGCTTCGCGTCATGTCTGAAAAAAAAACATTCTTTTGAAACATTGTTAAAATCAACGTACCCCTCGAGAGCAGTGTATTCACCATGTAATATGAGTACACTACATGACTTAGGTTCACGCACGTGAGTGTACAAGACACTCCATTCAAACCTATTGTGCCGATGTTCAACCAACTGTACATACGATACATAGCGCCGACAGTATACGTAGTATTTGCTACTGAAGACAGAGGTGGAGGAACTTGATATGCAGGGCTGTCATTCCCTTACTTGGGGATGGCTGAACCCATTTTATATAAATATCTAGTGTATATCTGATATCTTCGCTATACATTAATGTCTATATTACGTTTCAAAATACAGGCTTCACATATTTGCATTAATTTTCAATTGTGTTTCAGACAACTTTTGGTTGGTGTTGGCTCAAACGTTCATCCTCAGTAACACGTAAAAAAATGCTCACGTATGTACAAGAACATTTATATACAGAACGGTAGGTAATTCAACGATCGCGACTAGTTGATATTGTGTACCCTATTAAAATAACGGTACATAATTTAAGGTACAAAAATTTCCCAAGGAAAGTGAATCCTTAGGGTCTTGCTTGATACAATTTCAAGGAAAACGAACACTTATATGTAGTACAGTTAAAACGGTAGGATAAGCATCTCGTACACTTTCTTGACTTCCTTCTCTGTTGGTTTTCATCAGAATGAACCAAAAAATATATTAGTAAAAGGCACCTGCCTCAACCTTTGAAATAGGGGTCTGTGAGTGGCCTTGCGTGGAAATAGTCTTACGACACAAAACATACGATAAGAATGAAGGACAGCATAGCTTTTGTTGTAGGCATTCACCTGAAAAGACAAGGCATACAAACATGAACATAAGGGAAAAAAATGAAGACATCACAGACGCCGTCGTTTGTGGTGTGTAGAGTTCATTCTTATGTCCGCGTAGCCATCCCGAAAAAATGGCGATGCTACCTTCAGCATACTTATTTTTGAAAAAATAACGAGGCACTAATATTTTTTTTATTTTAGCACACTCTTTTATCAGCTATCAACAATTCAATGAATAACGAAGAAACAACAACAATATGCTTATTCTCGGCTGGTATCACAGATAATTCAAAAATGACACCCTGTGACAAGCATGATAGTATCTATCAGTACTGTTTCATTGATCATATTTCGATTAATCAGCGATATCAGGGTCAGTCGAGCTTCGTCACAATAGGAAGAGGCCGGATCGGAAGACCCTTGCAGTGCCTTCCACAACAGGTCAAATTATGAAATGCTTGTTGATAATGCAGGAGTACGAAGATATGCATGCGAGTTCTTTGTGTTCAAATCACGCGAGGGATAGTGTCGAACATCCAGGATAAGAATGCGTTTCTGAAACGCATTCAATAATCCCAGTTGCATTGAAGATCTCATGCGTTCAACACATGAACAACAGTTTCAGAACAAAAGCACTTACAAAACACCAACAACAAGATCAACAGCTTCAACGCAGTGCGGATTCGCAGAGAGAGAGCAGGTACACTGGACCCTTGAAATGTCCTAGAAGCCATAACTTAAAGAATGGTTCACTCCGGTCCATTTCCTGTATCTATATCATATTCACCACGTACTATACCACAATGGCACGTTCAGTCAACGATTCATTCGTGTTCGCGACGTCATGCGCATTGGTCGCAAATGGCCACAGAGCTGACTAGAGGCATGTCCAGACAGTCGTTCACTTTGTCGATGCGGGTGACTCTTCCCTGAGGCACGTTTCCCCGTGGTTCTCAGCTCCCGTCTTCAGCTGAGGGCGCCTCGAGCTGGGCTCAGAGATGTACTCCAGTTTGATCGTCAGCTTGAACTTTCGGAACTCCGCAGCGAAGGACAGGGTGAACGCCATGAAAGTTAGGACGACCATCCATTCCGATATTGTGCTGACTAGAATGCCTTCGGGATACTGCAATGAAATCATTTGTGATATCAGACTTCCGGCCACATCAAGGAAGTACGGATTTTTATGTAGCGGTATGATTGCCCTTTTTAAAGACAAAACTCTAGGACTACACAAAACACATCATGTATAATATTTTGACTGTTCTCCCTTCACATTCATTCAATTATGTTTTACCTACCACAGGCAAATAAGAAAAAAACTTTTTTCTTGTTGTTTTTATGTTTAGATGCAACTTCTGTGTATATTATTTATCTGCGTCAGATGTTATAGATCCATTTTTTTTCTTTGGTGTTAATGTTTTGTATTGCTTTAGTTGTTTCTTCGTTCATGCATTTACAATATAACCTACCGTGTGGCGAATCTTTCTAGTTAGTATGAAGTGGTTTCCTTCGATATTTCAACTACACTTTAGCTCGGTTCATTTTTCGGCTAGCTACTCCGGGTGTTGGTAGGCCAACAACTTGAATAATTTATAAATGGCGGGAGAAGGGTAACGTACTTTATAGACCCCTTTGTAGCATTGTTTTCGGGGATACAAAGAAAAAGGAGCACCTGTTTTATTATTCACACTCGCAATTTTTTTCGCAACGTCTATTTAGGATCAGATGATTCCGGCTACTCCTAGCGAACAACGCATAAGCAGTTCACTACGAGTACGTGTTCGTGTCACCCCTTAAATACCGCGCATAACACATCACTGTCTATTGTGACAGCCCTTTCGTTTTTTTAAATTCACTTGCCCACATGAACTAGCTGAAAAGACATGGTGGTGAAGTGTAAAAAAAAAAAGTGTTCGTCTAAAAAGGGCGCCGTAAGATATGACCGTGTGAGCAAGGTCGCGCCACCACGAGAGAGACTCTGAAACGACAGCAGAGCCTCTGAGACTAAACACGCTAATGTTTTCCGTGAAAGCCGTTAGGGGATGCGAGCTGAAAGAAGAAGCGAGACATGCCGGAGGCCTTGCGAAAGTGCGCAGGTACTGTGCAGACGCACTACTCCCGTCCGCGAACATTGAATTTTGTCTTTTGTCAGGCTACAAAAAATGACTATACTGAAACCCGCATGGTTCACCGTAGGATGACGTTACATGGCGTGAAAAAATTCACTTAACGAATAAGGTATTTTTTAAAGTTTATATTACATAGGGAGTTGATGCCTAAACACAAAGCTGCGTGTACTGCTTAGCTCTTGATTGGGTGGGACATGCGACATACAATTTTACACGTCACGTACAATACAGAATGCCATCAGTTAGATTGTTTCATGTGAGTTTAAGTAGCGTCCCACCATTGTCAGAGCAACTACAAAAAATGTAATCATTTTACTCTATAAAACGTTCTTCAAGCAAAACAAACTGCGTGTCAGCTCAACATAGCAATGTAAAGATTTGAACTAGACAGTTTACTCTCATAAGTTATCTAATTTTAGCCCTGATTTAGAAATCCCGTCCTAGTGCACACACATAGCATTGTGGCTGCAATTCACGCATGTATTTTACACCTGCAACCGATCGCAACGGCACGCTGAATGCTAATAATGTCCAAGGAGCGTGATACATTTGTTATTGATGCTTCACACTGTATACGGCATGTGATTATTCGTGCTCTCAGTTGTATTGTGAAATAAAAAATTGTCAATGTCTAGAAGTTTGATTCTGTGCCGGCATTGATTTGTATAGTCAGCCTGTTTTTTTTTTTTTATTCAAAAGAGACTATATAGCCACATAGATAGCTGAACCGAGTGCTGATTTTACCATTAGACCTATAGGTTACAGTCTAATATTGTCACAAAGTTAATTACGGGCACACTCTAAGTTGCTTAAGCAAATAAAGCTTTTGTTTTCAGCTACGTTTAATATTGGCGATCAAGAAATGTCTCTGAGCACCATTGTAAACGCACAAAAAGACGTGATGGAAATGACGCGTTTCAGAACACAAATTAATTGACGTTTCAGGACGCATCTATGCTCCTCTTCATGTAGAAATTTCTTTTAGCGAGAGTGTACGTACTATCGGTATTACGAAGATATCTCGCCATTCTGAAGGTGCATTTAATTGGCTCCATCTCGTGAGGATAGCGCACGCCAAATTATGAGAGCAGATCTCTGGATGTTTTGAGGGAAGTTTTATTGTACATGCAACTTGTACGTATACAAAGGAAAGAAAACTGGAAAAAACAGTATACACCTCTGACAGATAAATGACAAACACATAATACCCTGTTAAAGAGCACCGCTCAAATACTGCGTACGGATGGTTAACTAGTGAAACCGCACCGTACGACCCCGATGTTTATGACTGGGTTGATCCCTACGGTTAGTTAGTCTTTTTTAACTATTGGCTATTTGTGACCAGGTCTCCACTGATGTTTGCAACCAGCGGGTTCCTCTCTTTCATTTTTAGTGGTGTGCCGTCGAACATTTTCAATTATGTGGCCCGAAGTACTGGCCGAAGGACGACTTCTTGACGTTTAGTGGACCAGTGGAGATCAATGCGGCTCGCCCAATTTCTTGGTCACGTGCGGGCCAGCAGTACTTGTGTCCAAACTAGGGACGAATTTCGGTTTCGCCTCACTATACGCAGGTACCCTGCAAACTGTTCCAGTAATATCATTCCCACGGTTTCATCTCGATGTACACTTAATCGACACCTAAAAGAGTCACACTTTGATGAGCCTTCGTGGAGGTTGAAAATTGTAGCACAAGTGTTGTTTGAGAAAGAAACGTGGTAGGAATGCTCACCTTTCGAGGGCCATCAGGAAGTGGTCCCAGGCGATCCGCTTGGCCTAACGGGCAATACGCGATTGCTGGAAATGCAGACAAGACATAAGCTAACATCCACTTACGAGGCTCAGACATCAATGAGTATAGTGAAATAAGTAGTGGAATAGTTACCAGTATAAAAGCATAAATAATAGTAACCTGTTAATAAGAGCACATCCTAACAGCATGCTAAAAAAGTCATTATTAGACGAATACGTTTGTGTCAACAGATGAAAACGTTATCCTACAGTAGAAAGCACCTTGACATGCCAATGAAGCCCGTCTCTATTTGTCTTGGTGTCCTGCTTGTTCCTATAAATTGGTTGTTTGTTTGTTTGTTGGCAGCTTGTTTCTTTCAACCCCTTGAGCAGTTGCACCCAAATAATAAATTCGATTCAGGTAAACAACGCAGCCTTCAGCACCACACTGAGTCAGTCATTTCTAGGTAACGTAGTTTGTTAGGAATAATGTGTACGGGTCAACCTCCCGCAACCTCCAATAACTTAAGGTAATCCGTTAAGCGCCTCCTACTCGCCAGCGCAAAAGCAAATATCTCTCACACCGAAAATTTTGCAGACACACATCCACGAGTGACGTTGCCGGGGCAATCCCCAACTCACGGCTCTTTCGTGACGTCGTCGCTTCCTTGCAAAAAACCGCCACAGCAGAACCAAGAGCGACTTGCAAATCCCGCGCAGCCAGCGTGGCGACGAGAGGTTTTCTGTCAAAGAAGCACGTGGTGCTCGAGCGAGGGCTGCGACCTCGGCGTCGGTGATGTACGCAACTGACACACTGTCACCTCTGGGAGCCGCTGCATGCTTCGAAGAGGCGCTTGCAAACAGCGTCACACGCGTTCCGGCCCTGGTCATAGCTTTTCTATCCCACGGACGCCAGAACGCAGCGTAAGGAATATATATGTCTAGCGCCTCCAGATGCCTATTTCCATAGGAATCCACGGGTTTTAAAAGGGTCGAGTGAAAGGAAAGCTACTGTCGGGTGGGGGACAGAGCTAGGTCAGAGGAATCCGTTTTCTTGCTTCTTTCTAGGCATCAAGGAGAATGTGCTTCCTCTCGTAAATTTAAGGGCAGGAATGCTTTCACGCGAAGTTCACGCGTGGCTGGAACAAGTGCAGGCTCGTATGCGTAATATGCGATAAGCTGGTATTTACGTAGCACTGGCGTTTATAGGAGATGTTCTCTACAATGAGGCCGCAGTTGAGATGTATACGTAACTATAGTGGACGGGGTGTCACCTTGATTGATTGATATGTGGGGTTTAACGTCCCAAAACCACTATATGATTATGAGAGACGCTGTAGTGGAGGGCTCCGGAAATTTAGACCACCTGGGGTTCTTTAACGTGCACCCAAATCTGAGCACACGGGCCTACAACATTTCCGCCTCCATCGGAAATGCAGCCGCCGCAGCCGGGATTCGAACCCGTGCCCTGCGGGACGGGGTGTCAGCTGAAATGCAAATAGAACGGCAAAAAGAGATCGCGCGGTGATGCTCTTCCACTAGTATATATTTCAGGCGTTGTCGCTAATAAAATTCCAGTTGAAGTCAGCGCTCTCCTTGTCTATTCTATAGTTACGTCGTAACTACTCGTACTCTTGCGCTGAGCAGATATGTTGATTCCCAATCACCAACTAGCTCAAGCATCTGTCTTATCAAAAAAAGAGCCCAAAGTTTCCACGAAAATCTGCCTCCCTCTATTAGTTCATTCGCGGGCTTTGATCGCTCTATTACGTGATAGCGATAAAGAGCTCGTGTCGCTAATTCTTGTCGGTGGCGTTGGCTGTGAGCGTGGAATAGCGATGGATGCACGCAATGGAAGCACGGGCTGCAGCATCCCATCGTATTCAGCTGCCCCCAGGTTTATATAGGACTCTCACACCATGCGCTTGAAACTGTTTCTGAAAAAAAAAAGCGCGATATATGTGTCATGCAGTGGGCGGAGTCATCCTAATGCAATATATTTTCACAAGAACACAAACACCCCAGGCGTCACAACAGTCCGACGAACTCACTCAGGCACAGATATAGCCGTGACACCGAGTGAGTCCGGGTGAGCAAATAGTTTGGCGAGTCCGAGAAAGTCCAATCGATAAGGTTTGTAGTAAGTCATTGTGAGTTGCCCTGATAATGTGTGTTGCGCAAAGAGCGAGTGGTTAACAGGCCAATTCACCACAAAAGCGTTCAGGCATTATTAATCATCAGGACCAACCGCAGCGTCCACTAAGTAGGCAGCTACATAGGTACGCGTATCGCCTTATTGTTTCAATCACTACTTCGCCAAATGTCAAGTTTTTGCGTAACGGGACTTCGAAACAGCAGTAGCAGTGTGCGTTCTAGTAAAGTTTATTGTGGTAATTGTCAACACGCAGTCTAAATGGAAGGCTGCCATTGCCAGCTTCTGAGTCCAATGGGCCCGTAACGCAGCAGAGAGATGTTTTTAAGAGCAAAGCTCCTTAAACCGCGGGTCGTGCGTCCTCCATGTATGTAGTAGTAGTAGCAGTAGGTCGTTGTCGTAGTAGTAGGTAGCCTCCTCTCGTTTAGTCCTTGGGAGATCCGCTGGATGGAGCTACTTGTATATGTTAAATATACGATGAAAATATGTGAGATGGCAGTACTTGGAGTGTTCACAAGACGGACATACGAACGGACGCACAGACGGACATACAAGCAACGAGACCAACGGACGTGCGGATGGACGCGCGGACGGACGGATGGATGGATGCATAAGCAAATGCATGAAGAGACGGAAGGATGAACGCACGGGCGGACGGATGGACGCATGGACGGATGCATGGACGCATGGACGAACATACGTACGGATGAACACACGAATGGAAGCTTCAACGGACGGAAGGACACACGTACGAGCGCAGGGACGGACGCATGGACAGGCGCACGGACGTACGGAAGCAAGAACAAACGTACAGAAGCACGGACGGACTGATGGACGCTTCGCCCCACTCATCATCGTTCACGCCGTTGATATGCTGTTATTTTTCTGTTTCCACGTTGAAGCCCCCGCAACGTTATAAAGCGCGTTCTGAGGAGCCATAATAAATAAGACAGGCCGTGCGGACGCGGACACAAGAAACAAGTCACGTTACCATGTTTTGCACACACTGTGTATTGGTTCATTCGGCAAGGTGCGGCTTTACTCGGAGGATATCAAGCTGACAGGTTGTGCCCCCGCGATCTCCGACGAGAGCGTAGCTCCTGCTGACTGGTTCGCCCTCCGTGATCTTCTGGTGCCATGATGCTCTCGTCGAGTGGTGCCCCGTCCTTGGACTTTTCCGACCGGCTCCCAACTTTCCTATCTCCTTCTTTTTCCGTCGCTTGCCTTCTCTATTTCTTCACCTGTTTTCTTCTATTCTTTTTATTTCTCCTCCCCTCTCTACAAGGTACGGCACCATGCAAACGGAAATTAGTTGCCTTTTTCCTCTTCTCAAGAACCAATACCACCAACACTCTAGCTTAATGTGTATCTTAAGATACTTTAACGCAAAACTTCCGTCCGTCCGTCCGTCCGTCCGTCCGTCCGTCCGTCCGTCCGTCCGTCCGTCCGTCTGTCGTCCGTCTGTCTGTCTGTCTGTCTGTCTGTCTGTCTGTCTGTCTGTCTGTCTGTCTGTCTGTCCAACAATTCATCCACCTGGCGAAGTGCTCAAAGCCCAAACATCTTCATATCGTGGCTGCGTTTATACTTGTGAACATTGTTAATCAATGTTCGCAATGGACCATTTTACTGATTCGAATCCATCTCTGCCTGCGGCGGCTGCATTTTCGAGATGAATGCAAAAATGCTGTACGCCCGTGTGCTTACACTTCGGGTGCTCATTAAAGAATCCCCGGTGGCCGAAATTTCCGGAACTCTCCACTACTGCATCTCTCAAATTATTATGGTGGTTTTGGGATGTTAAACTCTACATATCAATCAAAATAGCTTGGCAGTGTATTCAAACGTCTCTACGTCTGGGTCCCCAAGACAGATAGGTGCTTTAATTAGGACAACTTTACCATCCGCTAATGGACGAAGGGCCCGGCGTAACTTTTACACGATTACCAGGTCACTGCAGCACAACAGGTAACGAGCATGCCGACAAATCTAAGAATGCTCATAAAGATGGCGACACTAAAATCATTTCCAAAATCGAGAAGCGACGCACTAGGTAAGATTAATAAGCTCGCTCATAAACGCGCAGTCTATGTGGAACACGCCCTGTTTTAGCTACTCCCATCTTCACAGCCTGGATCCGTGGTCAACAACTTGCTATTCTATCTGACCTATATATATCCCGATCTGAGACTACTCTTTTTTGCCGCATGTGGCTTGGGGTGTCCTGCACGAAAGCTTTTGCTTGTTGCATCAGATGGTCAGACAGCCCTGCATGTGAATATGCGGGACTGATTAAATCATTGAACATGTTTTATGTCTGTGCCCTGAAAATATTCAATAGGGATTATCTGTTCCTAGTGGGTACCTCAAACACTTATTGTATGATTATTTCGAACTTGCTATGCACCCAATACGTGGCCTTAAGGCTGCAAGAGCGTGTGTACGTCTTAGTAGTGGGTTACTGGCTTTAACTATGAAGTCATTAGGAATTTTTCGAATGGGGACCCCAAAGCACTTTGCGCATGGGCAGTTTGGGTCAAGGAATAGCGATGAGTTTTCGAATAGGAATCTGCGACACTTTGGACACTCCCCCTATTCTATGTCACTCTAGTCTTGCCCGAGAGCCGTCAGTTCAGTGGGTGCCGTCACGTTAGTCTGACCCAAAACTATTGGGGCAGGTTTTTGGGGCTCTCGCTATATTCAAGAAATAGGGTCCCCAATCGAAAACCTAAACGCGGTTTGGGTTTTGCGCATGCGCAGTGTCCTTGACTCTATTTCTTTGGGGCCATCCAAGAACTCCTCATATGATAATCTCACGTTCTGACGCCCAATGGATATTTGGGCTTGTACCACGCAGTATTATGGCAATATTTCATGTTGTATTGTGAAGCATGTTCAGGACACGTTTATTTTTAAA